TAGAAAGATTTTGATAGATTTGAAATATTAAATACTCATATAAGTTTTTTTAGACTTGATTAGTTAGAATCTAGTTAATTAAATTTACTAATGCCAACATGGTTTGAATTTTAAAACTTATAAATACTCATATATCGTGAAGGGCAATTTAATTAATTTGTGATTTAATGATATCTCAATTTCTTTATTTTGGGGATTTGAATTTTTTAAAAAGGTAGATATCCCACAAAATGTGGAAAAAAATAGAGCAATATCTAAATTACGAAAAAATTAATATATCATTATAAGGTCAATAATGTAATTACATAATACATTATTTAAATATCATTATACAATTATACTATTAATGAGATATTCTTAAACCTAAGCCACATTTCAATTTTAGAGTTGTAATTCGGCCATATGTCTAAATCACCCTATTTATAATTATAGGTATTTTGGTCAAATTGTAAAGCCATGTGCACAAGGAAAGCATGATATGTGCACAAGGAAATGCCATTATCATGCTTTCATTTAATGTATATACGCATCGTTTTGGTGATCTTGTTGTGTAAAATATTACCAACTAATTCAAGCTGCAAACCAACCATAACTGCCCCGAATATAATGACAACTTTTTTTCGTTAATTAAAATGATATGTTAGACTATCTCCAAGTAAATGCTAATGTGATTTGTATATTTAGTATAAAAAAATATGATATAATTTGTTATTTTCATTTTTGTTCTAATTCATGATGTTATTTAAAATGCTAAATTTATTTTTTTTCTTTATAATTATTATACATTGAAAGTTGTAAAAATAAATTTTTATTTTTAAAATAACTATAAAATGTAAAAGTTGCCATGATTACATGAAAAAATAAACATTTCAATCAATAGCAATTCAATACTAAATTTTTTATATGTTATACTTAGTATAAAATTTGCCACTATAGCTTTTGGAAAATTTAGAACAACAAATAGAATCGCATTAGAGAGTATGTTTTGCCCTCAAATACTAAATTTATAATTGACACATTATTTATAGCATTGCATTGAATATGTTGTGGTAGGGTAGCATAGCGACAAAAGAAGACTTATTACAGTTCTTTTCTTTAAGATTGGTTCTTATAATTTGATGTGAGAGGCTGAAATTATACATCTCATAAACCTGTCAAACGTGGTATGATTTGAACTCCTTATATACTAGATTTAAAAAGTATGCATTAAATTATTTTTTATGTCACGTGTTGTTTTTATAGATTATCATGTGACCATTGAGCTAGGGATATAAGTACACGACTGAACAAATTTTTTATTGAAGAGAAAAAAAAAATGATATGTACTATTCATGAAGTTGAATATTGCAAGATCTTATTTGAGGTTTATGCGAAAATTAAAAGTGTGATTATGTATATGTTCTTCCTTAAAAAAAATTTCCAATATAAAGTTTAGTTATTTTTAGTTTCAGGATTTTTGTTGTCATTTTTATTGATTTATTTATTCATTTCATTAAAATTGTCATTTTTTTGGTTGATTGCGAGTAGTGTGTACCTCTTTTAGTGCCCCATAGAGAATAAAATCGTGTTTTAGTTGACTTGAATTTTTTTTTTTTTTTTTTTTTTGTTTTTTCGTTGAGAATCTAGTTGACTTAAAATTTGAATGCGTGAAGTTTCAAAAAAGAAATTAGAATGTGTAGATGGATAAAGAACTCAAAAGCTTGAATTTCTTTGAAAACTTCATATTCAGTAGAATAAGGTAAAGGGTACATTGTATACCTTCAAATTGTCAATTTATGTTCAATCCATAACGTTTTTCAATCAGCTAGTATGTATCCCTCATACCAATGTGTTCATTTAAACGTCGTTTTCTTAACCAAGTCAAATCTCAAATAGTACAAAATTCCCAAAACAATACATTAAAAAAATCCCAAAACAATGTATGATGGGAGCAAGAAACTCCTTAAAAAGAGAAGAAAGAAAAAAAACAAACAAACAAACAAAAAAGAGGAATTAGGAGCAATCTGCTGTAGGGACAATTAATATCAATCTCACAAATTAAATAAGACAGTCTATAAAGTGATAATGTTACAGTTTAAAGAATCTTCTTATGATAATTTTTTGCTAAATAATCTTCTTATAATAATTGCCTCATATACTATTAAACTCTATAAATTAATATCTTTAAGACCATGAAAATTTTATTAATTAATTGAGATATTATTTAATCGATAAATTAATAATTTGTGATTATACAAATATTACTTAAGTACTGAATTACGAATCATCATTATTTTATGTATTTGTTTAACCAAAACGAGTTCATGAATGTAATTAGTCATATTAAATAGAAGTCATGGATCTATCCATTTTTGCAACAAACTAAAATTAGGTTCGACGTATACTTATTAATTACTTCATGAACATTATTAAATCAAGTAAAAAGCATCTAAATTTAAGTAGCAAAAAGAATACACAGTATCACAAACGGTAAAACTAAACACAATTGCCTCTCATCTCAAATGTGTAAAGAAATCAACAATGACGGATGAAATGCGTAAAGCATTGTATGATTACAACATAAAAATCCCGCTTGCACCCAAAAGCAATTGCAACAGTGCGTATCAGAAAAGTTTGACTTAAAATTGGGCCAAGCAACAATCACATCGCATAATTTTCACTTGCAATACGAGAACACTGCACCAGAATTTTTAGCGTTTAGTTCATGGATTCAAACTATGTGATTAGAATTATTTTTAATTTACGTGTATTTTTTATGAGAGAAAATACTGTAGTGGACCATGAATCATGATTCGAATTAGAGAACGAATTTAGATACCAAATGGACTCTACACTAAAAAAAAAAAAAAAAAAAAAAAAAAAAAAAAAAAAAAAAAAAAAAAGGGAGAAAAGGGGAAAAACATTAAAAAAAAAACTTAGAAATGAGGTCTAAGGAGACATCAATTTCAAGAAGAAACAAGTAACATTGGACTAGTGGAGTCATATTTTACAAAGACCCACTAATTAAGTCATGCATATATACAATTTTGATGTATAAGGAGATTTAAAATTTATATATCAAGTGGGAGCTGCGTATTTGTTTTTTTCTTGAAATGTATTATCTTATAAATTTAGCGAATTATTGGGTGCGTTTGGAATTTGTTTCAAAATGATTTTATTTTCTGTATAAAAATGAAAATGAAAACGTTTTCATTTTCATTTTAAAATTATTTCTGAAAATGCGTTTGGTAGTTTTATTCAAAGATTGATTTCAGTTTTAAAAAAATTGAAACTGCATTTGGTAGTTTAATTTTTAAAAACATGTATACTTTTTTTAAATGTGAAATGTCATTTATATACTTCTATTTATTTAATTAAAATTTTAAAAATAAGAATAAAAATATTTAAAACTTTTAAAAATTGAAAAAAAAACTTAAAACCAATAACCAAACACAAATCGCAAGTTTTTCTTCTCTGCTTCCGAGTTCTGCCTTTCCTTCCTTTCCCTTTCCATAGCACACAACTCCACTTTGGCAAGAAACACAGAGCGAGAGCGACATGGAAGCAGAAGTCACGGCCATGGAAGTCAAGGAACATCCTCACTCCAATCCAAGCTCTTCCAATCGGGTCGGACTCAAAAACTCCATCCAAACAAGTTTTAGAGAAGACTACCAAAATAAAACAGCTTCTTCCCCTCAATCAAAAACTCAGATCTACCAAAATTAAAATTAAAATCACATATCAAAACCAAACATTTCTAGTTATTCAATGAAATCAAACAGATTAATATCTCAAAATCAAATTCTGAGTTCAGGAGGTGCGGCACGCGGGTGGGATCGGTGGCTGCAGATCTAGGCTCGCCGGAGATCAGTCACGCGGGGGTGGGGCACGTCAGGGCTGGGACTCGGTCATTTTTTCCCCATCTAAAACCAGAAAATTGCTCAAGAAAAGGAAAAAAAAAGCTTTAGAGATTCGTCGCGATGGCGTGGAGAGAGAGGAGAGAGAAAAGGAAGAGGCGACAGATAGAGAGAGAAACGAGGTTGAGGAGAGAGAGGGGGAGAGAGAATGAGATAGAGAGAGAAGAGGGCATCGGAGAAGAGAGTGAAGAACGAGGGAGAAAATGAAAACGGATTTCATCCGTTTTCAGTTTTTCAGAAAAGACAAAAACGTTTTTTTTTTTTGAAGACTTTTACACCAAACGCATTTTACATTTGTGTTTTCATTTTTTAATCTCGAAAAACGTGAAAAATGAAAATGAAAACAGAAACAAACTGGGCCGATCTTTAGTCGTTTTCAAATTTTGAGAAAATGACAAAAACGTTTTTTATTTTCAATTTTGATAAATTGTTGCACCAAACATGTTTCTTCTATCTGTTTTAATTTTTTATCCTCGAAAAATCTGAAAAACGTTTTCAAAATAAAAAACAAACAGGCATATTAATTTACCACATTGATCTTAAGTCGGGAATGACCAAATACGTATCGTTCAATTTAAAATTAACTTTTAAAATATCAAAAAAAAAAAAAAAAAAAAAAACACACGATCTTGGAGAGGCCTATTTAGAAAGTCGCATGTAGTAGTGAAGATGTAGTTGGCGTGTTGGTCAAAATCCCATATCCCACAAGTTAAAAAGAGCCCCGACATAACCGAAAGACTTTGTAGAGAGGGAGAGAGAGAAGAAAAAAAAAAAAAAAAAAGGATTTCTTAAAACAAACTCATACCCACCACTTCTCTAATCTCTCTCACACACCCGTCCTCTTTTGAAACTCCACTTTTTCTTTTTCTTTTTCTTTTTCTTTCTCTTTAATAATAGAGAAAAAAAAGAAAAAGAAATAGAAAATATATATCTCTCTCTGTCTGCATAAATCTTTATTTATTTATTAATATTTACTCCTCACATCTCGACTGAACGTGCAAAAGCTCTTTGGCTTGTTTTGTAGAGGTTTGCACAAAGTGTGTGTTTGTGTGTGGGGTTTTTTTTTTTTTTTTTTTTTTTTTTTTTTTTTTTTGTCTCATATGCGTAAAAGGCTATTCTTTTGCTTTTTCTCCTCTGAGTGTTTTCTTTCCTTAATAATAATACTGGGTTCCGAGTTTTCTGGCGATATTTATTATATTTATTTATTTATTAAGCTAATGATTTAGCTCTGTGGGTATCTGATATAGCACGCCTTGTTTCTCCATGTGATAATTAATTGCCTCTCTTAAATGTAAGTGCTTTTGATCTTCTATTGATTTATCGGCTTAAAGGTAATGAAGCTCGGATTTTCTGATCTGGGTTTCCTTTGTTTTGAATTTACTAATGTCCCTTTTAATATCTCGGATGATTGCTTTGTCAGATGCGATATTTTCTATCACAATCTTATGAGGGTTTTTGCCTAGAAATCGTTTGGAATTTTCATGTGTAGACTGTAGTTTTAGAACAATTGTGTTACCATCAATGTTTTTATCTGAAAAAGTTTCTATTTATTAGCTTATGGTGCAAAGTTATTATCAATGTTTTTTTTTAATATTAGTTTTCGTTTGATTTCTTTGTTCTTCAATAGTCAATTTCTGTGATTTGTCGTTTCTGATTTAATTGCTTGATGCTTATTTTGTAATCTAAAACTAATAGTATATTTTTGTCGGTTCTTCCTCCAATGTTTGAGAAACTTCTTTACGCAATCTCCAATTTCTCTGTTTTCTCCGAATTAATATGTAAGTAACAACTCCTGAATGAACAATGCTTCTTATTTTAATATTTTGGTAGTTTAGGTCATCATTCTTGTTTCACAGTCTAATCTTTTTTTATTTGTTTGGATTTTTTTATTTATTATTTTTTTTTTTTTTTGTAGGGTCTCTCTCTCAACTCCCAATCTGAATAATTCAATTACAGCTCTTCAGAGATTTGGAGGAAACTTTGGTATGTGAGTTTAGAATCAAGTTAGTTAATCAGAACCCATGATAAGGCTTGTAAATGCGGTCTCTAAACATGGAAAAGAAGTGGCTATTTCCTCTTCTGATAAGCTCTGTCATATGCATAATCCTTCTTGCCACTTCCTTTAACATGGGCCTCGTCTCTTCACTGCACACAATCAATTCAATCTTTCCAATATTCCCATCTCGCTTCTCCACAAATGAAACCAATCCCGTTTTTGCCGAGTCGAAGATCACACAGCTTTCCCCACCCCCTCCTCCTGCCGTGGCCATTCCCCGTTTCGCCTACTTGATTTCTGGATCTAGAGGTGATCTAGAAAAGCTTTGGAGAACTCTCAAGGCTCTTTACCATCCCTTGAACCAGTACGTAGTTCATTTGGACCTCGAGTCCCTGGCTGAGGAGAGGCTGCAGCTGGCTTCACGAGTGCAAAATGAGACGATTTTCGCAGAAGTTGGTAATGTTCACGTGATTACCAAAGCTAACATGGTGACATATAGAGGACCTACTATGGTTGCTAATACTCTTCATGCCTGTGCTATTCTTCTCAAGAGGAGTAAGGATTGGGATTGGTTTATCAATCTTAGTGCTTCTGATTATCCCCTTGTGACTCAAGATGGTTAGTCTCTAACATTTAGACTTGTAAATCAAGGGTGTGACTTTGAAAGTTTATGTGCTAAAAGTTTGTTTTGTTTAATTGTGCAGATCTTCTTTACACGTTTTCGACTTTGGATCGGAACTTGAATTTCATTGAGCACACAAGCCAGCTTGGTTGGAAGGAGTGAGAACTCTATTTTTCTCTTTAATACAGAATACAAACTCAATTAAACAATAAAATTTTATGTATGTGATTGAAATCTTAGATATTTATCTGAATTCTGCAGGGATAAACGGGCAATGCCTTTGATTGTGGATCCTGGTCTCTATTTATCAGTCAAACAAGATATATTTCCTGTCTCTCCTAGGAGGACATTACCAACAGCATTTAAATTATTTACCGGTAATTTATCTGTTTTTCTTCTTTAGCCTTCTGGTGATCCATGGAACTTTACATGTAAAAAAACTTCATCTGAATGAATAAACTCAATATATGACTTCTCTGAAATCTGCTAATGGATTACAATCTGTTTTAGCTGTCTCAAGTGATTACAAAGATCAGTGAAGAGGGTCGAATTTAGCAGTTCACTCTTCTTTCCGTGCTATTAACCCCTAATACACTTTCTAGTTTTTTTAGGCTCTTGGAAAAACCAACAGTGTTGGTTTGGAAAGTAGCATTTAATACTCTACTTTATTCAAAGTACTCAAGTTATAATAAGTCAGAAACTTCTTTAGAGTTATGGATTATATTTTTACTCGACATAACCGTCTAATCAAAATTTAATTCTCTTCGATGGTTTTTGGATTTTGCACTAGACACCATGCTCAAAATCACTTTTTTTTTTGTTTTTATATGGAAGCACATTATAGCATGCCTCCATATGATCAAGAAAGAAAATTTTGCATGCTCCAGCACTGCCAACCTTTTTCATTTTTGTTGCTGAGTCATAATAATATTTTGCCATGTTTGCAGGTTCGGCATGGATGGTCTTATCACGCTCATTCGTGGAGTACTGCATATGGGGTTGGAACAATCTACCAAGAACACTCCTGATGTACTACACTAACTTTGTGTCTTCACCGGAAGGCTATTTTCAGACCGTCGTATGCAATGAACCAGAGTATGCTAAGACTGTAGTTAATCATGACTTGCACTACATTTCTTGGGATTTTCCTCCCAAGCAGCATCCGCACACCCTCACTATCAATGACACCAGCAAGATGATCACGAGCGGTGCAGCCTTTGCTCGAAAATTCAATCAAGATGACCCCGCCCTTGATAAGATTGATAAGGAATTGCTGCGTCGGAAGAAAAGGGGGTTTACCCCTGGTGGCTGGTGCACAGGAAGTCCTAAATGTTCCAAGGTTGGGAATCCAACGAAGCTTAAACCTGGCCCCAGAGCTCAGAGACTCCGTCGCCTTGTAGCTAGGCAAATTTTGACTGCTAAGTTTGGTGAGAATCAATGTAAATAGAGCTCATGAAAAGATTCTTGCTTGCTGGTAGAGAATAATGAAAACTAACAAAAAAAGGAGGTAAAGGAAAATAGATGGGTCATAGTTACAAGCGGGACAGAACTTGTTTAGAAAATGATTCTAGAGAAGAATTTTGATGCTTAGTTGTAACTTTGCCTCATCTTTGTTAGAGTTGAGGCAGGTCAGCATTATTTTGATCACACAAGTTATACTAGTCAAGGTTGTTGAAATTAAGGACGTGCTATTTTTTTAGGCTAAGAATCAAATTTTGTTGTTCCACTTGTTTTTTTTTTTCTTTTCTTTTTTCTTTTTCTGTTAATCTTTACTTTACCCTCTCTGGTTTTGAAAATTTCCTATTTTCAAAGGCAATTGGTGGTATTGATGGATGAGTCATAAGTGTCAAAAGCGACCTACATAAATAGAATTGAGCCATCCTTGTGTAATTTGAATACCACAAGTCAATGTGCCTCATAGTTTTGGGTTAGTGGCGATAACAAAATCAATGATGAGAATTACGTGTTTTGGCATCTAATGATAACATAGATATAATATTTAATCCTATCTAGTTCTTAGAGATGTTTTTTGCCATGTGTAATTATCAGATTAATACTATGTGTCACTAGTCATTATCAATGAGAGTTTAATGTCCATTTTTCACGCTACCAAATGATAGAAAAGAAGTCCCATGTCACTCTAACTATGGATGGACGGATGATATTTGGTATTAAATTTAAGCACTATACTCAACCACTTGGAAAATGGTAGGCAACAAAAGAAGTATGAACTGGAAATGTTTCTCTATTTGTCATTATCTTTTAAAGAATTTGTTTTATTAAATATGATAACATGGTTAATTTAAAATAAGTTTTTATTCTTTAAACGAATGCCATGTGAACTTTAAATGGACAGAATATAAAATAAAGGGTATTTTTGTTAATGTTTTAAAATTTGAGTGATGAGTAGATTCGTTTTTAAAATTTAGGAAACAATATGGTCACAGAAGTTCGAGGGAAGGAGAAATAAAATTTATCCTAAAATTTAAGTTGTATATTCAATCACTTGGGAAAATCTTAAGCGACAAATGGAGTAAGAACTTGAAATGTTTCTGTTATTATCACCACACATGATGTCTTGCATTCCGGTCCAAATAATGACTTTAAATTAGTTGGAACAAAAACAAAAACAAAAAAAAAACAAAAAAGTGACCTACATAAACTATTAACAATTACTCTACCCCTATTAATGTTGTCGGTTTACAGCTTTTTTGGTTGGTGTTCGAAGCATATCTTTCATTTTAGATGTTGCTTAGTGTAAAGAAAACAGAATGACCACAATTTTCTGCTATGATCAGAAAGTTGACTAGACAGTCTTGTTTAAACTTTGAATCCCAAAGGCGGATTCACATCATGTCCATTTTTTTTTCTTTTTTGTCTATTGGTATATAATCAATCACATTTTGTCATGTCATTTAATGAACTCAAACATTAAAATATAGTCATTATTTGATTAGTTAGATGTCATTTTAAATACAAATACTGTACATATAGCTTGAGTCCCCAAAGATATAGATGCTTGTATGACTCTGTCCGACCATCCAAAAACTCACATAAGCCTTGTTTGGATCGCGTACTCAAATCAGAATCATAGTTCATCAGTGAGAACTTTGTGAAAGAAAAAATTTTAAAATTTAAACTCTTTATAAGAAAAAAAATACTATAATAGAATAATGTTTTAAGTTCGAGTACGCGATCTAAACAAGCACATGGTTCTAAAAGGAGGTTCATGCTGTTCAAGATACTTTTATCACTGCCATATATCTACTGAGAGTCCAGCAATTAGCAACTCTTACAAAATCTAGTAAAAATTTGACAGTTTAAAATTGTGTACTACAAAAAAAGTCTCCTTTCTTTTACACCTGTAAAAATATTGTCTAGCGCCAATTATTGAGGAATTTAAAAAGTAAAAAGCACCCCTTGTAGTTGGGAGTTGGGACTTGGGAGTAGCCAGTAATTTATTATAAACATATACTTTTACCAGCGAGTACTTGATGTATGTGCTTATTATACATCTGCCACATAAAAATAAAATAAGTTGAACTTGAGCACCAATGATATGAGCTTTCTAAAAAGTACTATTGTACAAAAAAAAAAAATGAAGGAAAACTATAGACAAACTTTTTCACGGACAAACCATGGTAAGAATGCTTATAAAAATTAAAACAAAAAAAAAAAAAAAAGAAAAGTAAGAATCTTACTATCAATTGACAGATTTACTTTCCTTAATTTTCAATCATGAGTCCTTGATGGCTTTTCAAGAATACCATATGTGAGAGATACCTAAGAATCTCCGAATATACTTTTTTCCAAAAAAAAAAAAAAAAAAACCCTTGTATTGTGCTCTTGACATCATCTAGCAAAACCAAAGGAACAATAGTCAAAATCATATTCATATTTTATCAAGGATTGTGAGCGTTATATAATGGTGACAGAATAACAACTACTTTACCTTTCCTTTTCCTTTGAATTTCTATCTACAGATTATTTGAACAAGAATGTTCTCACTCTTCACAACAACCACATCCGCTATAATCTAATACCAAAATTTTGTTATGCTGCTCGCAATCTTTCAGTTTTGGGTGGGCTATTTTCAGCCTCGCCTAAGAGCTACACAAGCTTCTCTGGTATGAGATTTCTTTACATCATTTTTCCGTTTAACCGAACTTTTACTCCATACTAGGATCCTGAATCGCTAGGGGTTGCACAAGTTCAGACTCAAACCATCTCCAAAATTTTTATGTTACCGGTTGAATTCGCAGCGAGTAAGGTGTTGGACTGGCCGCGCCAACAAACAGATGAGATAAACTGTGTGGATTCGTCCATTTCGTGGCCAGAAAGTGGGTCGGGGTTGTTGAACTTAAATGATAACGCCGGCATGGGAAAAGCTTTATGGTAAACGAAAACCTGTGACACAACATGAAATCAGTGAGCATATTTGCCGAATCTTGTCAAAGTTTTAAATCGCATCCAACTAACAAGCCGTTTGCTTCTTTTTCCAAATTTGTTCTACAAGGGGTTTAATTCATTATGCTTGAAGTCCAATTGGTTTTTTGAACACGTTTAAGTGTATTAACCATGTTTTGCAGAAAAGGAATGAATAACTAACTCCACTTATCATAGCGTTATTGACGCGAGGGAAACAACGTGACAAGCGTGTGGAAGTCAACAGAAAGTGTTGTCTGCTTAGTAATTGCATTACCTCGTTTGTCTCTGAGCCTGTAGCAATGTAACCATCAAAAACTGACAAACCTACAAAGTTCTGCAACAACAAAAAGAACATGCATTAGCATCCAACTCTATATTACCATGACAAGTTTCTAGCACTACTTGACGCATGAACACGAACATCAGGGCAGAGAGTTCCTCGCGACTTTTAGCTACATGACAAGTACAATTATTGGAAATTTGAAAACTGTAGGAGAAATATTGTATTTACATAACGAAAATAATCACCAGTTCCGTTACTATTTTTAAGTGGAAAATTTCAATAAAGAAACGTTACTAGGTTATGAAGACAAGATAAATCCTTACAGCGATCATGTAGACTAACCATAGAGATACAGTCCAAACAGCAACAGACGCTTTTCAACTAAAAGCTCATACTTTAAAGGGTGATTAAAGATTATAGCCCGACTCTAGATCTTACAAGAGCCCAAACCCAATCCAATTTAGACCATACATAACATCCTTTTCCATTTAGCTCGATTTACAACCATATTCACTAATACTGCCTAGACTGAGTATTTTATAACCACCAATTTCCTCATTCGGCAAATTAGAAGTGCTCTGATAAGAGCTGACAGATTCGGGAACAAAACCAAGAAGATCGAAAAAAAGAAAATGAAATCAACTAGAGAACTTTATTGATGACAGCAAATGTACACTGATGGCGCTGAATAACCTCAAACAGCTCCCACGAAGACTCAAAGTCAGGAAGATGGCGCCATTTGATCAAAACCTCCAAAGAACCATTGGTGGGAGAGAAACGGGTATCCAGGACCTGGTCCAGTTCAACCTGCAACGTCAAATCCTCAGACAAGATGAGAGGTAAAGATTTGAGGAATATCCACAGAACCAAGAGCCTTCTTCATACGGGAAAGATGAAAAATAGGGTGAATCCGAGCATGGGAATGAATGATGTTACAGCCGGTACGCCACTGGGCCGACGCGAGCAAGAATCTGAAAAGGCCCGTAATAGCGAGGCACAAGCTTCTCATTCACCACACGCGTCAGCGCTCGATGTCGATATGGTTGGAGTTTCAGAAAACCATTGTCTCCCACTTCGAATGTCACGGAGCGGCGCTTCTTGTTGGCATGGTCCTGCATAGATTGTTGAGCGCGGCCCAAATGATCTTTCAATTCAGCCAAAAGCGCATCTTGATCGCATAGCTGCTGCTCCAATTCCGATGTAGCCGTGGAACCGGCCTCATAAGGAACCAACCGCGGAGGATCTCGACCATAGAGAGCTTTGAAAGGCGTCATGGCAGCCGAAACATGAAAGCTCGAATTGTACCAATATTCCGCCCACGGAAGGTGTGTAAACCACTGCCGAGGTTGACCGGAAACAAAACAATGCAAGTAGGCCTCTAAACAGCGGTTGACGACCTCAGTTTGCCCATCCGTTTGTGGGTGATATGCCCTACTCCGACACAAAGTGGTGTCCTGTAACCGAAAGAGTTCCTTCCAAAAGTGGCTCATAAAAACCTTGTCTTGATCGGAAATTATACTCCGCAGAAAACCATTAAGGCGCACTATGTCTCGGACAAAAGAAGCAGCCACTGTTTTGGCCGAAAATGGGTGTTTGAGGCCAATGAAGTGACCATACTTGCTGAGACGGTCAACGACAACCAAGATTGAGTTATAGCCGGCGGATTTAGGTAAGCCCTCAATGAAATCCATGGAAATGTCTTCCCAAACTCGATGAGGTATGGGTAGAGGCTACAACAAACCCGCAGGTGACAAAGTTGACAACTTATGTTGCTGGCAAACGACACAAGCAGCTACAAAAAGCTCGACATCCTTGCGCATACCTTTCCAATAAAACTCCATTGCCAACCGCTTGTAAGTCCTGAAGACCCCCAAATGGCCGCCAATCTTACTACTATGAAACTCACGCAACAAGATTGGAATAAGAGGGGATTGTGGAGGAACTACCAACCGGCCTTTGTATAGTAAGTGCCCCCTTTAAAGAGAAAACCCCTTCAAAGAAGGTGTTCCGACTAGAAACTCATCCACGATTTTGTTGAACCCCGGATCCGCCTTGACCTACCGCTGCAACTCCTCAATATCAAGCACCATTGGAGTGGTCATGACCATTAAAGCAAGCCCCACTTGCTGCCTCGAAAGGGCATCCGCCACCTTATTTTCCATACCCGGCTTGTATCGAATCTCAAAATCATAGCCAAGCAATTTACATAGCCATTTTTTATGCTCCACACTTACCAAGCACTGTTCCAATAGAAACTTCAAACTTTTCTTAACGGTGCGCACCACAAAACGTCTTCCCAACAAATAAGGTCGCCACTTCTGAATGGCTAATACAATGGCCATTAATTCCCGCTCATAGACTAATTTGGCTTGAGCGCGCCGAAAGAACTTGGCTAAAATAAGCGATGGGGCTCTGTTGTTGCATCAAAACCGCTCCTATGCCAAACCTCAAAGCGTCAGATTCTACCACAAAGGGTTGAGAAAAATCTGGCAAGGCCAGCACGGGAATCTCAGTCATAGCCTTTTTTAAGTGCTGAAAAGCATCCTCGGCCTCAGAATTCCATTGAAAGGCGTCCTTCTTAAGTTGTTGCGTCAACGGCCATGAAATACATCCATACCCTTCCACAGAACGACGGTAATAACCTGTGAGGCCTAGGAATCCCCGTAATTCCTTGATGGACTGCGGAGTAGGCCAATCCAACATAGCCTGTACCTTGCTGGAATCCGCTGAGACACCATCCTTAGAGACAATATGCCCTAAGTACTCCAATTGCTCATGTGCGAAGAGACATTTTTTTTATTGACATACAATTGGTTGGCTTCCAAGACCGAAAGAACTTTGTCCATATGCTCCAAATGGTCCTCCCAAGAACGGTTGTAAATCAAAATGTTGTCAAAGAATACCAGCACAAAGCGACATAAGAACGACTTTAATACCTCATTCATCAAAGACTGAAATGTAGCCGGCACATTTGTCAATCCGAAAAGCATAACGAGAAACTCATAGTGACCCTCAGGTGTGCGAAAAGCAGTCTTAGGGACGTCCTCGTCACACATGCGGATTTGATGATACCCTAATTTCAAATCTAGTTTGGTGAAAATGGTGGCCCCGCACAACTCGCCCAACAACTCCTCAATCACCGGAATTGGAAATTTATCCGGAACTGTGGCTTTGTTTAGCGCTCGATAATCCCCACAGAATCTCCAACTGCCACCCTTCTTGTTGAAAAGCAAAACTGGACTGGAGAAAGGACTTGTACTCGGTTGTATAATTCCGGCCGCCAACATTTCTCTTACTAACTTTTCTATTTCATTTTTTTGAAAGTGAGGGTATCGATAAGGCCGGACACTAATCAGACCGGTGCCATCCTCAAGAATTATGTGGTGGTGGTCTTTCACTCTGTGAGGGGGTAAACCGGCTGGCATGTTTCTACAACAATAATCAGAGCTGCTCGTTGCATTCCTCTACCTTGCCGTGGCCTTGCTCTACACTCAAATGACTTAGCTCCAAGTAAATGCCCTGACCCTCATGACGAATTGTGCGCATCATGGCCTTGAGGGAAACCAATGATCTCATAAGACTAGCATCCCCCTTCAACATTACACTCTCCCCATGTACTTTAAATCTCATTACTTGAGTCTTCCAATTGACATTCATACTTCCTAGAGTCTCAAGCCATTGCATTCCTAGGATCACATCTATCCCTCCCAACTCTAAAGGCAAGAAATTTTCAATTATGGTCAAGTTTTGCATGGACAACACCACTTCTTTACATAATCTCTGCCCTTGTGCCGACTCTCCCGTGCTAGTTTGGATACCAAAACCAATTGTTGGGATAATGGGCAGCAATAATTCGGAAGCCAATGTGAGAGAAATAAAATTGTGTAGCTCCGGAGTCAATTAGGACAATTACCTCACGGTGACCAATCTTGCCCTTAATCTTCATGGTCTTTGGTGTAGTTAACCCCATTACGGAATTCAAAGACAGCTCAATCACCTCAATCCGTAGCAACTCCTCCGACTCCTCTTTTGTCTCCTCCAACTCAATCTCCTCATTTTCCAAGTCGTCCTCATCGCTAACCAACATAATCCGCAACTCCCTCTTCTTACAACGATGCCCAACAGTAAACTTTTCGTCACAACGAAAACATAATCCCCCATTTCTCTTCTCTTGTAACTCCGAATCGGATAATTTCGGAATGGAAAATCCTTCTTCGGCTTCTTGACACTAGGGCTGCCTTGAAGCTGATTCGCTGTGGTTCCCATTGGCGGATTTGCTGTGAATCCCGCTGCTTGAGGTCGCCAAACCCGAGACCCTCCCATCTCCCTCCGCAACAACATATTTTTCTCTTCAATTCGCTGCACGATATCCATGATTTCAGAGAGTCCCTCTGGCTTAAGTAAGCGCAATTCAGCCCGGATGTTAGCCCTCAATCCATTCACAAAAATGCCTTCAAGGATATCCTCCGGCACTTCTTGTAAAGGGGCAGCCGATACCTCAAAATTCCGGCGATATTCAGCCACCGTACTTGTTTGCCTAAGCACCAAAAACCGCTCACACAAATTCCCCTCTTGAGAAGAACGAAAACGTTGTAGGAGAGCCACCTTGAAGTCAATCTAAGTAACGAAAGGTCGCTGTTGATTCTACCATTAACCACGATAGTGCATCTCCTTCTAGGGCAATACCGGCGGTAATTAGTTTTTCCCTCTCCGAGAACCTATTGATGGAGAAAAATTGGTCCATTCTAAATAACCAGCCATTAGGATCAATTCCACTGAACAGCGGGTAATCAAATTGCTTCCGTCGAACCGGTGACAACTCCTCACCTTCCCCACGGCTCTCCATAGTGAGCGACGAAGTCCATGGGATCCTCAACCTCGTTTTCCTCCCAACGGCGTCTTCCCTCCCTGCCGGTGTTCACGCCAAATCGGATTCCCTCGTAACGGCCATCCACCCTCGGCCTAGGTCCTCCATTAACCATACGAGGTCCTCTTCCTCCTTCACCATTTCGGCCATCACGCAGGTCCCGACCGTCCTTGAAAGTCCACCCACTCGGGAATCGCTGTGCCGTCCTTCGCGAATGCCCCTTTCTCCATCGTCGGCCTCGCCGCCTCTGGGTCGGCCATTCCAGCCATCGCAATTGAAATCGGAACGATTTTCGTTCGCGATTCGTACCCTAGCGCGCACGATTTCTTACCCAGCCAGACTTTCCCTGCCGTCCACACCCCGGTGTTTTCCCCGCTCCCCTTCCCCGGAAACCCTAGGTTCGGCCAACTCTCCCAGATCGCGGCCGTCCTCCTCCACCAGACCTGCAACATCGCAAGTTAAACCTTGGCTCAACCCTGCCTCTTCTTCCCGAACCCTCGCGGCGCCTGAACGAGAACCTTCCGCCAGCAAATTCGCCGCCGCCGCCACGGTCAGCAGTCGCATCTACTCCTCCAACAACCGGCACAGATCTGACACATTCTGGTTCATTTAAGCCATGTTATGGTTCATTTCAGCCTTGCTATGGTTCATTTCAGCCCTTACCTCACCAATTTCTTTTTCCACCAAAGCCTTGACTTGTTGAATCTCCTTCTCCACCGCCTCAAATTTCTCCTCCGTTTTCCTGGCCGCCATAGTCACCCAGAAACGATGCTCTGATACCAAAATGATAAGAGCTGAACAGATTCGGGAACAAAACCAAGAAGAAGATCGAAAAAAAGAAGATGAAATCAACTAGAGAACTTTATTGATGACAGCAAATGTACACTGATACGTGGATCTTCGAGGGTCCGCTTCCTCCCCGTCCTTGGAATGGTTCCAAGATTTTTACAACAAGCTGATTACCCCAACGATACCTTCTTTCTGTTTTTCTCTCCCTTTTATACATTCCCTTATTCATTCACTACTAACAATCTTCCTTAGTAAGCTACTAATACTAACAATCTTTCACAGTAAGCTATTGACAGCCTCCCCAAACCAGAACCCCACTTCCTAAGCCCATTTATTCTTCCTAATATACACTTGCCTGAGTAAGGGCTCATCATGCTCAAACCAAATCTGAGCCTGTTTGGTTTGACTTTTACTTATGCTTTTAGGCAGCCAAAGAAGAGACGTATTTCCTACATACATACGTACATACACAACCTACCTACCTATTTAGCTCGTTCTATGGCCATACTCTAGTATTGCCTAGACCCAGCATTTATTTCCTACATACATAAGTATGTACATATATATCCACAGTTGCATTGGATGTTTTCCAAATTTGGTCACTGTAATTTAATGATATTTTGTATCAGCATTAGCAATAACTCATGAGCAGTTCAGGGTCTTCCTCTTTTTGAAACCTAAGAAACCACCGTCCATCAAAACCCTCTTAGGATTTTTTGAGTTTTCCAGAGGCCTGGAAAACCTTTCCTCCTATGTTCATTTGATAAAGTAGCACTTTTATATTACCCTTTATTGAGTACACGCTAAACATGCTCCAGTTTTAAGTACTTTTCTATAAAGATTCCTGCATATTTCAAGTTGAGAAATGAACGCTTGGTACATTGGTATAGGTCATGAACATCTTAATTAACTTGGTAAAAAGAAAATGATGTGGGTACTGGATTCCAAAATTTAATGGTTTTATCACTCCATAAGGAATTGTAGAGATAATTCCTAGTTCCACTGACATTGTCAATGTTACGACCTTTCTGTGACATCATAAAATTAATTTCGAACATAGATAAATATTTGCCGTTTACCCAAAGAAATGAATGTCTTTTCATATATGTGACGGTCTATACACTGGAAAGATTCATGGTAAATCAGTTACATCTAGTGAGGGAAAAAGAAAAAGATCACCAGTCAATGATACAATGTCCATTGACTAATATATAGTCATTAATAACTGGAATTAATTAAATATTACCACACTATCTCGAAAACAATCAGCAGATATAGATAATGCAAGCCAATAAATAGATGATGAAGACGATGTAAACAATTTTTTATTTCCAAGTCAAGCTGTTATTAAGTCCCATCCTGGGTCAAGCCTAGGTGCACTTGGCACCTAGGTAGTGACATTTGCAATCAATCTATCTCATAGGAACAAGTTTTAGTGGTAAAAAGGAAAAATAATGTTACAAATCAACATCTCATCAAGCGTGATCCATTTAACAATGAACAAGGTTATCACTCCTAAAGAACGCATACTAATCCAAAATAAGGAAATACCTTAACATTCATGTGACCTGTGTAGGATTGGAGTGGAGTGTCAATAACCCGAGATGTACAAGTTGACAAATCCCAAAGCTTCAGAGAGTTATCAGTGGATGCCGACACAAGATTTGTTGCATCTACAAACTTGACATAACTCACAGTTTTATTGTGACCAATTAATGTGCAGAGAGGAACCTTTGCACTTCGTAGATCATAGTAATAAATCTTGTGGTCTGCTGAACCAAATGCAATAGACCGACCGGAGTCCAAAGGAAACTGAACGCAGCAGACATTTGCCTTCGTTCTGATTGTACCAATGCTCACGCCCTACAGTAGTAGCCCAATTAAGAGAAACAACTTATCATACATCAAGAATCAAGTATACACAGCATAAATTCGAAATATTGAAAAAAAAATAATAATAATAATAATAAAAAAGAGAAATTCTTTATTCCGAAATGTTTTGATATATGAGATGAATCTATTATTTCGATTTGTTACTTGTTTCGTTACTGAATTGATTTAAGTGGATTTACATACTCATAAAAAAGAATTTATGGACAATTCAAAGCTGACATCCACCAAGTGCAAAAATAGAATTGCCTGATTGATACTCCATAGCTTGACAGAACCATCATCACTCCCGCTGGCCAGCAATGTTGGATCTGCCGAGGAAAAGTCAATTGACCACACACGCCTCTCATGCTCTCTCATCTCCATTTGCACTTGACTTCTTGTCACATCCCATATCTGAAATGTCAAGTGACTGAGTCAACACAAAAACGTTACCTAAAACTGAAAGGTAAACAAAATTGAAGGCTGCTTACCTGGACCACACCTTCAAAGTTACTTGAAGCAATCTGACTCTTTATATAACTATTCCAACAAATACTACTAAGCTTTGACCTACTAGCCATTTCTACCACTGGATAGTGGATATCACGATCATCATTCGTAATTGCGTCAAATTCAAATACTTTAATTTTCTTATTAACACCAGCTGTAGCAAATAATTCTCCATCACGATCAAAACTAAGCGAGCATACAAGGTTTGAAGAATTTAAAAGATCCCCTTGCTTCAAATCTGCCTTAACTTTCAATTTACTGAAAGATAGATACTTGCACAAACCCTCCAAGAATGGATTAATCCAACCACCTTGTCTACCATCGTAACCCCGATCTTTTGATGCCAAATTATTAACAGAACTTCTTTCAGTTACAACAGCAGAACCCCTCCCATCACTGCTAATCGGTGAATGTTTAATCATGTGTTTCCCTGACAGCTTAGTTGGCCTGCATCTTGTCAAAAAATATGCAGCCTCTAGCTTCTTGAAGTTCTTCATCAACTGAGAACTTTTAAAAAGAATGCTTTCTAGGTTTTCAGTGTCTGACTTCTGATCACCATCTATATTATCATCACATTCCTCCATGTCAAGAATCGGCAATCCTGGTCTAAATCGTTTTCTGGACCCCAAACAATCATCATCATGAACAACATTCATTAAAGGGAGACTTGATGTTGAGTTATCTTCCTTCACTAGATCGGGACATGAACTACTCTTTTTCTTCAGAATTGTTTGCTGCTTCATGACTTCTTCAATATCAGAACACAGGAAAGAGAGTGTGTCTTGCAACTTATCAGCAGCTTCCTGCTTTCTTTGTTGTATAAGCAGAAGAAACTCTAGGAACAACTCTTGCTCCTCTATACGCTCTCTAAGCTCTATGGCCGCTTCACGTTCTTCTAAATCATCTCTTGGCTCATTTAGGAACTCACTTTGTAATAATTCACTGTTACAGATGATAAAGTAGAGTTTAAAAGTCTGATCTTATTGAAGTTATATTGCATGTTAAAAGAGGTATGTCTTAGCACAAGTTGCCATTCTAAATCCTCTCACAATTTGATTGTGGACAGATCAGATGCTGAATAATAGATATGCAGGCAGGGATACCTCCACTGTTGATTCTATGTATATAATCTCACATAAACATATAAATGGATTAGCTAAGTGGCATTTTTCCATCTAAACATTTAATGCAAGGAAAGAGCTTAAGTTGAGTGTTGTCTTTACATAAGATCGAATCAAGATAAATTTCATCTTTTTTCTAAATTGCATATGATGTTGCTTTTTAGATCAGTAAAAGGAACATGTCCAATTACTCATCCTTCAGTGCCTTTATGTCTAAATGCCAAATGTCATTCAAGGTTTTCGTTGATGAATTATAGGTATTAGTTTCCGCAGCAAGGCTTTTTCTCGTGGGCAAGGTGTTTAACCACAAGTCAGAATCAGGAAGGAATATTTAATATTTATTTGTCACTAGTCTGAAACTTCAAACTTTATTTTAGCAGGAAAAATGATGGAAAAATAAAAGCAAATAAACTTCTAAGAATATATTTTCTACTTAAAATGATACGCATAAAGACAATCACCCCATTTTTGGACGACTCGTTGGTTCAGGATGAAGTAACCATAAGCAATATGAAGCTTCTTTTGGCCATTTGAGAAGCAATTGCGGAGGAAGAACTCGATGTCTCAAACTAGACATCGTCCTACTCTTTTCCTCTCTCGAGCTGGATGGGCAAAACAACTGGTCACAAATAGCACTACCACATTAGCATACTGAGAAAGAAAACAAACACAAACTCTTCGAAATTCTATTGCTACGTGAAAAGCGTGAGACACCTAATCATAGCTATGCCAAAAATACATGTGAAGTTTTCATTACGAACCTCAAAAAGAAGAACTCCAAGTCTGTATATATCCGAAGCACATGAACTTGGACCACCAGTGGCCTCTTCAGGACTAGTGTACCAATTTGTCTCCATAAGCAATACTTGTTTCATTGGAAATGGTTGTTTTTTCTCATCTACTTCTGTACTCCTTCTATCTTTATTTCTATTTTCTTCAGTTTCGATCACCAAAGATTCGTGCGCTGCATACGTTGAGCTTGACTGCATGCAACTCGATTCTGATAGAGCATTTGTTGAAGCTATCAATGGTCGAAGATCTTCACTACCCGTGCTTCTTCTCTGCTGATGCAAATCACCGGACAAGGGCAAAGACGAATTCTTAACCTCTCGTGTCGGGCTATTCAATCCGTCTTCATGAGTATCAGACCCGGAATCCGAACAAGACGCCGACTCAATGAAGGAAACATGATTGAAAGATGACATAACAAAACAAGAAGGCCGCACATTATGTACAACAATCCCTTGAGAATGAGCCACATTCACAATCTCCACTATTTGCCTAAATATGTGCAAGCACTCAAACACATCAACTGATCTGTCTGGTTTATCCAACCACTGCCTCAGGCTAACGTCTCCCCATTCAACGGTGCGAACAAAAGGGTTCACCGCTACCTCATCCTCGCAAACTCCGGATAAACCACCATGGTTTCGAATGTAATCGGTGTGAGCAACCAAAACCCTATTATCATCTTTTCCCTTCCTGTTATAGCTAGAGTCATGGAATACTACATCATCACTAGACAAGCCAGTTCTACCACCACCACTACTACCACCATGGCGATCGAGATTCGAAAACCTTGAACTGTTCAACTCCCTAGAGCTACTAGACTTCTTACGAGCAGATTCAGAGGAACCCTCCATTGTGGTTATCCATCTAGAACTGCATGAAGGCCATAACTTACACATCCACTAAACCAAAGTGCCCTCTATACAACTTCTATTTACACACTCTCTCTCTCCTCCATCAAAACATCAAAAACTCGATTCAGAGGCACAAAATGATGAACCCCACTTCCTCGTTTCAGCAGTACAGCCTTCTCCACTTTTCTTTAGAATTTTTCAGAACAGTTAACAAAGCAAGTACTCGACCAATAACAAACCCAATAAAGAAATAGTGCAACAACAACAATTACTTAAAAAAATTTACAACAATCCTCAATACCCACAAAACAATTCATAATCACACAAAAGTATATGCAATTCCCAACCACAGACAACCCAAGAAAAAAAAAGTAGGATCAGCCCAAGAACAACCCCATAAAGAGACACTCCACAAAATCTTTCAAGAACATAGTAGAGTCAAACTATCCTTCAATAAATGTCAGAGAGAGAGAGAGAGAGAAATACCAGTAAAGCCATGAGAGAGAGAGAGAGAGAGAAATACCAGTAAAGCCATGAGAGAGAGAGAGAGAGAAGAGAGAGAGAGATTCCTGTTTCTGCTTGGCCAAACTGAAAGACATAAACCACACAAAAAACGAAGCTCTTTAGGTAGCAAACACGAGCACGATATGAACCTCATATATTTCCCAATAATATTTTCTCAGCCAAACGAGAAAAATCTCGCCCACACAAAGCCGTTTGTGTTAAAATCGAATAAACTATTCTCCCTCTTTTGTTGCCGAGAAATAAATAAATAAAAGTTACTGGGTATATGTTTTTTTTTACTTTATTATTTAATTATTGCTTTCTCTTGAGACACGAGAAGCCACGCTCTTTCTTTATCTTCTCTCGCTTTATTCCAGACCACCAACGTGGCAAAATCTTGGCCTCTAATACATTGTTTCAGAGCAGAAGCAAAAATTAGCAAATTTTTTAATATTTTAATAATAAATATAAGTTTATGCCCACAAGATGAAATTCCTAATTTGAATTTTGAAAAATAATAAACTTAAAAGTATTACCACCTACACCTACCCATCGTTAGTGAATTGGTTGGTTACTCGTTTTCTTTTAGAGAAAAAAACACAAATACACTCTAAGAGTCTCAATTTTATTTTTGACTTTTGATTAATAATTTTTTTTATTTGAATAATTGTATCAGTTAAAAAGATATTAATAAAAAATAAATAATAAAAATTAAGATTTATGCATTCTAAATAAATCTGACAATTTTCTCTTTTTTTAATAAGATATTCAACCACAAATTGTGAAATTATTTTGTTACAGTATTTAAGGTCCCGTTTATTTCACCAATTTGAGTTTAAAATTCGAGTTTTAATACAGTAAAAAACTCTCAGAAACAGTCACATTTAACTTTTTTGTTATAGTAAAAAATTCTTACATAAAGTCACATCTTAACTCGAATTAAAAACTTGAATCAGATAACTAAACGGGCCCTTAATCTATTTAGTGAAATAAATATAAAATTGTTTTTTTGCTAGAAATTATAAAATTATTTGGATACATCATTCTCCATCTTTATAACTCTTTATCCTTCAAAAATTAGATTCGGTAATAACTCACTTAAACAGGAAAATGTGTGGTTTTTCTTTTCTTTTCTTTTTTCCTTTTTTTTTTTTTTTGTGTGTGTGGATGGAATGTGTGATTATTCTGATTTCTGCTAAAAAGAAAATACGAAGTGGGGTCAAATAAAAACCAATTAACTATTAGATTGAGCTTTCCAGCCGGGGAATAGTATTGGATAGTGCTAAGTAAGTAATAAAATATTGCTCTAATCCCAAGCATGCAGAAAAGTTAAAACTATAAAATAACATAAAAACAAAGTATCTTATTATGGTCTAGTAATCCTCAAATTAATCATTAATTAACTATGATTAAATATTTTAATACGACCGAGTATTTTAATGGCGGTAAATTCTTACACATTTAACATTGAGAAACCATTTTAAATATCTTATTAGCAAATTAACCACACCCACATAAAGGGTTTTGAAACTATGGGAGCATATCTTATAAGCAAATTAACCACACCCACATAAAGGGTTTTGAAACTATGGGGGCATTTAATACGCAATAATCAATAGGAATCATATTATTGAGAAAGTGTCCGGTCATGGCTGACAGGCAGCGACGGCAGGCTGAGGTGGTGGGCCGGTGACGGTTACCTCTGGTGATGTAGTGGAGTTGTAAAGGTTTGGTGTGACTAGAGGAACTGGGATGTCGTGATGGGTGTTAGATGAGATTTCTGTGATGTTAAGATTCCTAAAAATTTGAATATTATTTTGTTGGTAATATTCAGATTACTTTATTTTGGATGAAAGTGAATTTTATGGGTTCATTTTCTCGAGAATATAAAAATTATCGTTCTTATACCAAACGTAGAAATGTGAAAAAATTATTATTTTCAAATTATCTTATACCAAGCGCCCATATATGTCCCATTCCATCTTTTTAAGGACATAATATTATAAGTGCTGTGAAAAATTGCACGTTACATGTTTCACGTAAAGAAATGAAGGGATAAAATTATTTTGATATCCCTATTATTACAAAACATTTCGCAGATTTCTGTGATTTTATAAATGAATGAATAACATCTCACAGTATCCTATCTCGTCATGAGCACAATGCAACCACTCCCAAAACATAGAAAAAGCCCTTCTCTTCCCGACCCAACTACCAACTTCCTCCCCGCACCCTCACGGCTTTGCCCCCATCGCATCAAGACACTAGCGAACTCATCCTCGTCGCGCGCAGATCCATAGCCCCATCACTCCAAATTGTCTGGTGAGCCAAGATCCTCCGCCCATGGCTGCCGCTAACAAAGCAACATTGTCGTGAAAAAAGATTTTCCTGTTGAAAAATTCAGAATTGGGAGGATGAAAAGAATAGAGAAAGCAGAAAGAGTTTGAGGCGTATAGGAATACTTTCCTTTAAGGTTTTATTTGCCCTCACTTCTCAAAGTTTGCTAATGAGTTTTAAATGGCAAATTACCCCTAAGATACAACAAACCCTTGAACACAATATCCAGCAAAAAATATTGAGTTCCAGAACAATATATTCATCTATATTTTCTGAAGTCCATCATATAAAGACAAGGATGCATCCATCCTCTTTAAGTGTTACAACCTTTCACATAAAGATACCTTTTCAATTTGATGGTTATCTTTTATATGCTGATGCACTTATATCAATAGTTATTTCTATTGTTAATAAGTGCTAAGATATGTGAGAAAACATATCACAAATAGATGCAATGGTTCGAGACCTTTTCAGATCACTAAAACACACGAACACATTTTCCGTCGACAATTTGCGCTGCAGCGCGCAAGCTTAGCAAAATAGACTCGAGGGGTCTGTTTTACGCAGGCTGCAGCGCCCAGGGCGCGCTGCAGCGCGTCCGTGCGCTGCAGCGCGCGGACCTAGCAAAAACAGACCCGAGAGGTCTGTTTTGCGCAGGCTGCAGCGCCCAAGCGCGCTGCAGCGCGTCCGTGCGCTGCAGCGTGCATACCTGCGCGCTGCAATGCGTGCTTGCTTCAGCCCACACTTCCCGAATGTGTTTTAATCCAATTTTGTGATATCAAGATTGAGAGATATAGTACAATCTCTCTAACATTTCCTTGTCACAAAACCACTTGCCCTATTGCCACCTACCAACCCATGGTCATTGTGAATCATCCTCACTCACTGATCACTACCCTGTCGACCCCAACATCAAGTGATATTGGCCCATCACCATAGAGAGGGAAGGGGGAGAGAAAAAGCACAACCAACAACCTATCCTAGCACCAAGTCAACGACCCAATCCCAAATTTTCTCTCATCCTCCCTATCTTCGACGTTAGTGGGGGCGGCTCTAATTCAAACAATGCAAAGTAATGGCATAGATCGCACAACAAGGATGATGAGCCTTGAGTCTTTCTTGACTTGGTCGCAGTTCCATTAGTAGATATTAATGACTCGTTTATTTGACCGATTCGAATTTGCAATTCTAAATTTTTACAGTTAAAAGCTATTAGAAAATATCATATTCAACTTTTTCTGCTACAATTAAAAACTCTCATAAAATATCGCATCTCAATTCAAATTGAAAATTCAAATCCGTAAAGCGAACGAGGCCTAAGTCTAACTTTTCTTGCTCGATAGAGAAAAAAAAATTAAGGAAGATCTCCCTTCACCTAATATGATATTGTTCACTTTCAGTCTGAGCCCGCATGATTTTATTTTTAAATTTTATCCCAAAAAGCCTCATATCATTAGAAGATAGTGTCCTTTCTTATAAACCAACTTATAACAATCCCTAAACACTGTGGGATGGTCTATCCTTTTTTAAACCTCTTGCCTCAAGGGATTGATAATTGTCACATCTAGGTTTTTTTTTCGCTTTTCAAATATTTTAGTATTTATTTGGAGAAAATATTTATAGTTAAGTGTAGAAAAAAGATTTATGTCTTAAAAATCGATTTCAAGGTAAAAAATAACAGTTTTTTAAATGTGAAAGTATCTTTTTAATATTATTGAAAACACGGAATAAAAATGAGATTACAGCAATAAAAAGTACCAAATGATTATATCTCATAAATGAAATTGGCCTCGTTCATTTCACCGATTCGAGTTTTTAGTTTTAGGTTTCTATAGTAAAAGGCTCTCAAAAAATGTGACATCTAGCCTTTTCTATTACAGTGAAAAGCTCTCAAAAAATGTCACATCTAAGCTCGAATTGAAAACTCGAATCCGCGAAGTGAACGAGGCCATATAAGTCTATTGTTTAGATTTCTTTCCATAAAAGGACCTAGAGATATTCATGCTTGTTCAAAAAGAGAAAGAAGAGAAATATGCTAGACCAAGAACCCATGAAAAAGCTTATTGGAACGATAAATGAATATAGTACATAATTGAATAATGGTATATAAAATGCATAAAAAGATATAAACTATTGTATTGCAAAAGGATAAAGATTATGTTCAGCAAAAAGAAATGATGAGATTATGTTGTAAAGTATGAAAAAAATTATTTTATTAGTATGATACAATTATCAATCCTCAATTTTTTATTAAGTTATGTTACAATATTAATTTTGATAATTTAATATGATTATGATGTGATTTATTGGTTCAGAATTGGGCTCTATTGATAGAGTAGTTTTGCATGTACTTTTCACTATATTTTGTAACTTGTAGTAATTATAAAAAGATGCCTTAAATTTTAAGTTAGTGACACACTTGATATAAACTATCTGCGCGGGCTTTTTTTATACAGTTGATCTTAATTTAAAAATTGTCAAGAAAATTTCATTAATTCATTCCTTGAAAATTTATGAAGCTAGCTAGGGACCAAATGCTCCTACATAATTGAAACTCCAATAACAAATACTGAATTTGATTAAGTTCTTAATCAATTAAATATTATTCTTAATTTTGGTTTGAGCCACTGGTAGAAACCA